TTGAGGGCAAAACTCTCCACCAGTAAAAAAGAACCTGACTCATTTTATTGGGGTGGTCTGGAACTGAACCTGCGATATCTCTGATGTATGCCTTTACGTGCAATCAACATTTTAAAGAATAATTACTAAACAACTGGTTTAGAAGTGGGTTCTGGAGTCCTATTTACTGGAATGACATCCCAGTCCCCTATCCTTGGGATCCTGGGAAAATTAACCTAAGGCTCAATTACCTGAGTTACCTCATAAGAAAATGGTTGAACGTTATCTATTGTACTTCACAGGGCTATCGTGACAATCAGATAACTCATGTAAAATTATAAACCAAACTAGCACCTAGGTGCTTAATAAATGACACTATTACTACTAATAATAATTTCCTAGTAAATACTAGAAACTACTATTGGCACCAGGGATGCCAAGTGAGGCAACAGATCACAGGGCCTCTGTCCTCAAAGAGCAGATGCTCTAATGGGAGATACTTAAATTGACAGTGTTGTAATTGCCATGTTTTCTCTTGCAAATATAACCAAGATCTAGCACTATAATTACTACAGGTGCCTAAGGGCAAGAGAACTAATAGCAGGAACAGAGTAGGTTCAGGGGGAAGCAGCATCTTGCAGAAATGCCAGCCTCCAGCCAGAGCAAGAAATCTGTAGCAGCTCTTAGTGACACAGCAGTAACAGTCAAACTTAAACAGCCTCATGACCCCGGCAGAGAGACACGTGTTAGCTTTTAGTGAAAAAAACAAACGACCCTGGGGAAAAGCCACAATTCTTTTAAGTGTAAAAACTCTCTCTGCTGTAAGTCTGCTCGCACTCTAAGACTCGGTGGTTACCTCAGGCCACCAATGACCTGACACACTGCAAGGGCCCCTCTTTAGAGTTCCTGTCTCTTGTGGGGTTGGTTTCACACTACATTGTCACCATCTTTACACATCTATCTTCTGCACAAAACTTCAAGTTCCTTTATTCCTCTCTACTGTTTTTTTCTGTTTTGTTTTTTAAAAAGGAAAGAAAAGAAACAATAGGCCGAAAATGGAGTCATTCGTGCTAAGCACCACATCACCAAATCAAAATGTAATCCTTAACCCAATTGCAGTTTCAACCTTAAATCTGTCAATGTGGAATTATCTGGTCAACACTAGCAAGGTGACCTGCAGGATAGACCCATGCCTTCCTTCCCCAAGGAAAGTGACCCTGCCTAACACAATTCATTCTTTGCTAGAATAACTTCCTTGCCCCACCTCCATCTGCCTATAAAAATCTTCCATTTTGTGTAGCTCCTCAGAGCTCCTTTCTGTTTGCTAAATGGGGTGCTGCCCAATTCATGAATCATCGAATAAAGGAAACAGATCTTTAGATTTAGTCTTGAATTTTGTTTTTTAATACTACCTTTCACACCTAGCACAGTGACCAGCACCAAATAGGTACTCACTAGATGTATGTTGAATTATTGATTCATGCCAAGCATTGTGCCAGGCAGTGGAGATGCAAACGTTAGAAACTTGGACCCTGCCAAAGAACAAATAATTGAGTGGGGAGACAGAGTCAGCAATTCAAATATGAGAACTGCACTCATGGAAGAATGTAATACCAGGTGTGGAGGGGAGGTACGGGAAGGAGTATCCACACAGAATTCAGGGGAGGGATGTTCCCCCCAATGAAATGGGAGAAAGCTAAAGAGTCCATGCAGTTTTAAGTTGGAAATAGACTGGGAAATAGCGTAAAAGAGAAGTGGCATGACAAGAAATGTTTTAAGAGAAGAAAAGATTGGTTGAATAAGTAAATTAATAGAAGTCAAATTTAGAAAAACAAAAACATTGAAATATAAAAATTAAAAATAACTAAATTCCCCCAAATTAAGTACTTACAGCTTACCATAAAAGTTCTTACCTCCCTGAAATTCCTTTTGATGACCCTGGAATCTCTGGTACAGGCCGATGTCTTAGCAGAAAAGATCGAGATGGCCTTGAAACCAACTTGCTACGACTTCTCATAGGCGCTAGGAATGGTGATGATGGGACATACAAATCATTTACAACCATTTCTCCTTGAAATTTAAAGAATGGGGATGGTGGCGATTTTTCTAATAAACCATTAGTTCCATCTCCAGAATTTGCTTCTGACAATGGACAGCCAAGGGAGGAAAGGCATACAGAGTCTGTGTTAGGAAACTTGCTTGCATTTTCTGAGATCAAATCAGCGTTTCCTGTTTGTTCTTCAATTGTACCATCCACAGGCTTCTTTGCAATCAAAGATTCTAGTTTAATATTTTCTCTACCAAGTAAAGAATCTTGAAAAGAGCCTAAATTCAGGTGTGGTTTTTCTTCTGGAAGAGGAAAGTTATGTTCAGGAAGAGACAGCTTATCATCTGACTTACAAGACTGACTATTTTCCACACTAACAGCATTGTGATCGGGAGTTTTTGTAACAGTTTCCAACCGCATTGGGCTTGGGGTCTGAGCACTACATGAATTCGAAAGTTCTATGCAGGTATCCTGATCAGAAGATGGGGCATGGTGATCCCTTGAAGTCTCATCATTCTTCTTTGCTTTATGAATATTTGCATATATTGGGATATCTTGCATTTTTGACAAGATTATCTGTAACTGTTTAATTATCCTCCTCCGGTGTCCCGTAGGTGATATTCCAATTTCNTGTTCATGTTATTTCCGAGGTCCCGGTCAGTACAATAACAGAGAAAGAAATAAAAGACATGCAGACTGGAAAGGAGGGTATCTTGTACTTAGAAGGTATCTAGGAAGTAGAAAATCCTAAAGAATCTACCAAAAAGCTTCTCAGAAAAAAGTAATCTAGCAAGGTCCCAGGATAAAGGATAATTACTTTTAAAATTCAATAATATTTCTAAATACTAGCAATGAACAATTGAAAAAAATAGTTTGAAAATACATTTACAATAAAATACAAAATCATGAAATACTAAGGGCTAAATTGATCAAAATGTGGGCAAAATCTGCACACTGAAAACTATAAAACATTGCTGAGAAAAATTTAAAAAGACCTAAATAAATGGACAGATGCAATATGTTCATAGTTTGGAAGACATTAAGATGTCAGTTCTCTACACATTGATATATAGGTTCAGCATAATCCCAAACAAGAGTCCAGTGGGCCTTTTTTGCATAGAAATTGACAAAGTGACTCTATAATTTGCACATAAATAGAAATAACCTAGAATGATGAGAATTAATTTTTTAAAGAAGAACAGAGGCACAACTCCTGAAAAAAAAGGAGGCTCTGTGACTTGCGCCAAGGCTAAAATAGTTGCATGAAAGATGTATAAAGATCATTAAACTGGGGAGAAGAAGAGAGTTACTTCTTCAGTAGCTGAAAGACACCAGTTCCTTCTGCCTTGAACACTAAGGAGGATCTTCCTGGAAGGATCAGAGGACACACCTATCATTCCCAGGCAGCTGGTTGGACTTGCTTTCTGCTTGGAGGTCTCCATGGAACTAGGAAGACCTCCAGGTGAATGTGATGAAGGAGTTGGCTCTTCCAGCCTAGTTCTGATCTGGCCTTCAAGAGACTTAAAAAGAGACCCTGAGGTTCCTTCATCGTTTAGCATAGCCCCCACTCAGCCCAGTCTTCCCAAGAAAAGGAGCAGGCAGGAATTCAGGGAAGAAACCCAAGGCAAAAGCAAAAATAATCCATTTGATTGGAGGCTCAAATGTGTCAGATAAAGAGAAGGAAGGGACGGTGGGAGGTGCCATCATCCAAGGAGAGAGAAACAGAGGATTTCACTTCAGGAAAACACATCCAGCATCATATTGCTTTTAACAGTTGTAATGAAATGTTTAATTAGTAAAGACATCATGCTAAAAGCACTGGCCACAAAGAAATATTTTTATTTGGTACAAAATCCAGGAATGTACTAAAAATCATTAAAATGTTATTTGATTAGACAGCATCACGGATTACATAATCCACAGTCTTACTTTAAAAGTCATATTCTAACACTTTAAAAACATATAATTACTATTTGCAGTTCTGGTGAGGACCACAAGTAAAATTAGACAGTGAAGTCTGAGAATAACTTACTTTCTTATTTTATGATCTA